ACCAACGGATGAATGAGTAAAGAAGTTATGGCATACTCACATACACAACGAAATATTATTCAGTCATAAAAAAGAACAAAAGCTTGCCATTTGTGATATGGATGGACCTTGACGGTGTAAGTCAGCCAGAGAAAAACAAATACTATATGATCTCACTTATATATGGACCTTAAAAACACCACCACCACCAATGAAACCAAGTTCACAGATACACAGAACAGATTGGTGCTTGCCAGAGACAGGTGATGAGATGAGTGAAGTGGGTGAAAGCTAAAAGGCAGGAACTTCCAGTTATAAATATAAGCCATGGGAATTCCCCTCCTGGCTCAGTGGTAAAGAATTCACCTGCCAATCTGGGGGACATGGGTCTGAGCTCTGGTCTGGGAAGGTCCCACATGCCATGGAACAACTAAGCCTGTGTGCCACAGCTACTGAGCCCATGCACCCCAACTACTCAAGCCTGCAGGCCTAGAACTGGTGCTCCACAATAAGAGAAATCACTTCAATGAGAAGCTTGCACAGCCCAACTAGAGAGCAGCCCCTGCTCCCCACAACTGGAAAAGGCCCGTGCGAAGCAATGAAGACCTGAGGAGACCCTGTGAAGTCATAAACAAACAAATAAATCTTTAAAAATAGATAAACAAGTCATGGGTATGGAATGCACAGAGTAATTAAAAATATTTTTTTTGTAACTATGTATGGTGACAGATATTAACTAGACTTATTGTGGTGATCACTGCAATACATACAAATTATCAAATTGTGTTGTACACCTGAAACTAGTATATATCGATTACACTTCAATTTAAAAAAAGAAAAAGAAAAATCTCCCAGACTGCTGAGGCACTGATGACCCCAATTATATCCAAGTTGTAGTTGTATATGGATGTGGAAGGGAGGAAATATTACATATTTATATAATTACCATTTGGGGCAATATTTGGATGACACACCATCTATTACTATTCTGACTTAAAACTTGTCATATGCAACCAAAGTGAAAATGAGTTTCAGCAAAACTCAAGGTCTGGGTCACCTCTGCCTCTCTCTTTAGCCCCCAGCTTTCCTCCTCCTCCCTCAGTCTTAGTACCAACCTCCCCTACAGTAACTTTTAAATAACTCCATTTCAGCTCCAAGAGACCCACTACGTCAGGACCCTTTAAGGGTGGAGCACAATGGAAAGGATGCAGGACATAATGATGGACACTGCAGTCTAGAGAGGATGAGCACGTAACACACAGGAACGCAGGAAAGGATACTCAAGGACGGGACCAAGGATGGAGTGAGACAGGAACAACCTATTGAGAACCAAGAAGGGTCCCCCCATTGGGTACGGACAAACTTCCAGTCTGCGTGCCTTCAGAAACGTCAAGGTGACGCATATTCGCCAGCCTGTGCTTGCGTGCTAAGTCGCTTCAGTATTGTCCGACTCTGTGCGACCTATGGACTAGTAGCCTGCCAGGTTCCTCTGTCCATGGGATTCTCCAGGCAGCCTACTAGAGGCGAATTTCGGCCACGACTCGATGTGGCGACTAAAGCAAGTGACTTACGCTCTCTGAACCCAGTTTGTAAGCGGGTGGAGATATCGCTGAAAGAGATAACCTGCGCACGCGCAGCATGCCTGGGGTGGGGTGGGGGGGGCTGGGAACACAAACGCCCACGTCTCATCTTACCTCGAAAGATGACTCTAACTCGTCCACCAAGGTACTGTTAGAAGTTCTCGGAACGCCTGGCGTGGCCTGAAGAAGCGAAGCTTGGCCCAGGAGCCCCGGCGGAGGTTGCGGAGGTCCAGGTGGCTGTCCAGAGAACATGCCTCCCAACGGAGCCGCCATTTTAAAAATGGCGGGTGCTTGGAGCTAGGGCCCGCGGGTCACGTGACGTAACTGGTCATGTGACAGCGTCCGGGGCGAGTAGGCGTCTGTTGGATGCCTGGGAAACCGTTCGTTTGGTGCTTTATTTCCAGACTCACAGGTAACCAGGCTTTTACTTTTTTTTTTTTTAAACCTTGAGAATTGAAGGCTAGGATTTAACACAGTTGTGTGGAGAGGAGAATCAGTAAGTACAGTGGAGCGAGTCCTCCTGCGGAGTCAGGTATTCCTGTACCAGTCCCGCCTTCGCTCTCAACTCCTGAAATTGCTTTGGACCTGGCGCTTTCTCTGGGCCAAGTTTTACCCTCTGGTAGAAGGGAGGTGCGCGTTCATCCCGCAGACATTTATTGAGAGTTTCACTGTGTGCCACTTATTAATCTAGTCACTGGGGATGTAGCGGAAATAAACTGGGAAAATGTCCCCCGAATTCCTTCTGGGGAGATCCAGGTAACAAAAACGACTTAATATTGTTGAGACCCCCTGTCTATGTGCTGGGCGCTATTTGCTTTAGATATTTATGGTTACGTTAAATAAAGTCACTATGCTAGTTTTTTTTTTTTAATTTGCTTATTCATCTTTTCAGAAGCTAAATACTTTTTCACTATATTTAACTTTATAGTTATCCAGTTCATTTGTTAAGTCATCTGTGTCCCAGCTTCTATTTAATGATCTGGGGGTTACAGTAATCACCACAAGTTTCTGCTTTCGGAGAGTTTACCGTTGTTTTGTGGAAGAGAGACGGATAAGCATGTACATATATAGAATGATATCATGTAGAGATAATTGTCAAGAAGGAAACTAAAGCCCAGTAAGGGGATGACACCCTGGAGGAGGCATGGCAACCCATTCCAGTATTATTGCCTGGAGAATCCCCGTGGATAGACACGCCTGGGGGGCTACAGTCCATGGGGTCGCAAAGAGTCGGACACGACCAAAGCAGCCTGGCATGGCAAGGCACACTCCTAAAACATTTTTGAGGACTCCAGATGTTTATGTGAGGTATGTTGGGCAATATTTACCTATTAAAAAGGTAAGCATTAAAATTGAGACTTTAAAAATATATATTGGAAAAATAAGCCTATTATATGATAACAAATGTTTTAATTAAAAATCTAAATTCTATAAAACCCAAAATACAGTGGAAACATTTTGCATTTTACTCTTGGGTTTCCAATGGCCATAGGGCTACTTGAAGTCTAGATTTCTTAACTTCAGTGATCTGTTAACACTATTGTGTTCTAAACCGCTACTCTCTTGGATTTGCTGCTATCTGAAGCCATGCCTCTCTGCAAGCCATGCCTTGTCCTTAGTGATTCAGATGCAAATTACACCACCTGTCTCTGGAAGTTTTAAGGATCTGCCAAGGTTTTCTGAATACTTGGTAGCCAGATGCACCAGCAATGAGAACTAAATTTCATCTCAGCCAGATTAGGTAAGCACAGGAATCCAGGAATCCGGTCATTCTGTTTGTATCCCACACACTAGTAAACACAGAGTTTTATTTTTATTTATAAGAAGTTTTATTAACAAAAATTCTATTTTTTTATTTATATTATTTTATTTATAAAAAGCCTTTTATAGACTTCTATCAAATCCCAACTTGGCCTTCTGAATCACATAGAAGAAATCTAAATGTTTTTCTTTTCACAAGCCAGTAGTTCCCCCTCATCATTTCCATGTTTCCTGCTGAAGTAGCTTCTGGACATGAATGCCCAGAGAAACCTGTTTACACACTATTCCTAATTTTAATCAAATTTAAATTCATGTTATTTATTAACATGGATATGATATGCATATCTCTTTCTATAAGCCAGTTTAGACACATTATACCCATTTACATAATATAAAGAAGGCAGAGCATTGAAGCATTGGTGCATTTGAACTGTGGTGCTCCCTTGGACAGCAAGATCAAACCAGTCAATCCTAAAGGAAATTATCCCTGAATATTCACTGGAAGGACTGATGCTGAAGCTCCAATACTTGGCCACCTGATGCGAAGAGCGAACTCATTAGAAGAGACCCTGATGCTGGGGAAGATTGAGGGCAGATGAGGCGTAACAGAGGATGAGATGGTTGGATGGCATCACTGACTCAACAGACATGAATTTGAGCAAATTCTGACTGAATAACAACTACCACCCATTTACGTATCAGGTTTTTAAAATACTCAAAATGACTCTAATTAAAAAATATCTCATTTTCAAAGTCAAAATAAAAAAAGATAACTATTTTTGGATAACTTGATTCACTCAATACAAATGTAGAAAAGAGAGCTTTCTTCTAAATCTGCACAAATGGAATTTTGATTGATTGAAGTTCTAGATGGTGGAAGTAGTTTACCCACTGACAGTCTCTCTTATGGCCCTCTTATTTCAGTTATTTCAAATAAATTCCACATCCATTCAAGTCCCAGAAGTGAAAACAAGCATTACAGTGAAACAATTAAGAATGCCAGCTCTGGAGGCAGACTGGGCTTAAATTTCTGCTGTCCCACTTACTAGCTTGGTGACATCACTGGCATGTTACTAACCCTCTCTTGTGTCTCATTTTCCTCATCTGTAATGTGGGGATAATGGTACCTGCCTCACAAATTCATCACTAAGTGCCCCAAAGTTATTAACATTGAGAAAATACATTTTTCACCATATCCCAATATAATTACTTAGTTCATGTAACACAGCCGGAAGAGATAAATTATATTAGTAGCATCACTGGGTTTTATAGTAGTAAAAGTGAATATGAGAGCCACACCAGAGAGCACCAAAAGTTGGATTTATTGTTTCTGACAACTGACAATTGCACAGCAACTTTTAGTTTGTTCATATTCTCAGCATCATAAATCCGAAATACAATTTTGCTTCTCAATTAAAAACATATACTCTGAAAAGTGATTAGATAGCTTTTAAAAATCATTTTATGGAATATCTTAAAAATCTTTGCCAAGTAAGATACTAGCTTTACCTTTATAAATCTCTGCATAAAATGAAAAATCAAGGCATACAAATTTCATTTCGTTCTGTTTTTAATACCATCTTTTGTTTCCCTTAAAAGATTTTTGTCTATTCATTCAAAAGTATTCTGAAGTTCCACTGCCCATTTAAGACAGAATGAAGGCATTTTAGAGCATCTGAACTAAGCACTGTCTTGACTGAACCGAAACAGGAATTCGATCAGGGTCCTTGTGGGCCTCCCAGCCATGCCTTTGCGAAGATAAGGAACCTCATCTTTGTTGGTCATCACACCTGCTATGTCTAAATGTGCCCACTTAGGATGAGTCACAAATTCTTTCAGGAATGCTGCAGCTGTACATGCTCCTGCAGATCTGAAAAGAAAGAAAAAATCAACATTAACCCCATTAAATGTACAATGAATGTTCTATTAAGATCCTCCATTCTTGCTAAGTGGCTTCTATGACTAGAGAGCAAAGTCAAGCCAATGAGACCTTTAAAGAAGTTAACCCAGAAATCGATACCTATCTTTAGACACAGCTTTAAGCATAAATTCTTTTTCCTGTGGTAATGACCATATTGTCCATCTCCTTCCCTTACCATTTGCTTAAAATGACCTTTAGATTTGAAAATGCAAAAACTGAGAACCAGTTGGGAAACACCTTGAAAATAAAAGACGGAAATTAGTGCTTATGAGCACTACACTGAAAAGAAACTGGATACCTAAACGTTTGTGAAGGAGATTAAAACTGAAAATGTTCATTTTGGCAAACAATAATTGTAAAAATGTACTTTTACAGCTTATTTTACATACCTATATTTTCCAATGTTATTAACATCAGCAAGTTGGCAATCTATAACCTGTCTTGTGTAATGTTCAAAGAGAGGCATCCTCCAGACACGGTCTCCCGTTTCAATGCTGGCCTAGAGAACAAATAGGTATGATAGTTGGCAGAATAGATGAAGCAGGTTCTGACCTGTTACTCTAAAACATGACAAATACAACAGATTCCAGAATTATTTTAATTAATTAAAAAGCTTAAGAATTATAAAAGAAGTAAAGGAATGCTGTAAAACAGTCCTACAAATTTGTAGGGCATTTGCTGAAATTATCAAACTAATATTATGGGTCTCAGTTTAAATGAATAAGCTGGTATCCTGTCGTGCAGACAGGCTTTGCTGGATTGATTAGGGTGAACTAGTCTTCATGATGTTTGTAACCTTGGTGTGCCTGGAACTAAACTACTGGAGGCCAGATACTAAGATAAGGTGACCTCATTAACTCATGTCATCATTTACACACTCATTCACCCATCCATCATCTACTGAACTGCTAAATACCAACAGGGGTTGGGGATCTAAAGATACTTAATATCTGAGTCATCAAAGGGCCCACAGGCTAGTAGGAGAAATGGGTAAAGGTTGTTTTGATACACTGTGGTCAAAGGTAAGAACCAAAAGTGAAAAGTCAGGAAGCAGCAATGTAAGCTGCTACTTTAAGACTTCAGAAGAATAACTAACAGAAGAATCCATCAAGGGTTGAAAGTGACTACCTCCAGGAAGAGAGGGTGTAGGCTGTATAAATAGTTGACTGTTACTTCTTTGTTCATGATAGATAGGGACAGTTGTGTGCCTGGTACAGAGGAGGGGAGAAGCCCCACATACTACCTGGAAGGAGACAACAGGGCTGAGTTTCTCCCAGAGGCTGGAGATGGTAGAGAGGGGCTTCACTAATGGCGAGATGACAGAAGTGAAAGGGAAGCAGTTTAGAGTGGAAGAGAAGTTTAGGACCTTAAACCACATCAAGAATGTATTCAGGAACATTTTGTATTTGTCCCTGCTGGTACATGGTAAGCTCCCATTAATTACTTGTTGAAAGAATGAGGTGCCAGATGGAGCTGTTTCATAGCCAAGTGGATGGGCAGGGTCTGGGGCTCAGGATAGACAGAAGCCAGAGAGGTGCCACCTGAAGCCATGGGAATAGTGGGAATAGATAGACGGGATTCCCAGTGAACACTGTGCAGAATAAGAGCATGAGGTCCAGGACTCAAGTCAACCAAAGGGGGAGACAAAGGAAAAAGCTGGCCAAGGAGGCTGAAACAGAAGTCATCAAGAAAGGAAACCAGAAGAGAAGACTACTGTGGAAGCCAAGAGCAGGGTGTCACCGAGAGGCCCGAGGTCCACGCTGCCTCTGGACAAGCTACGGAGGCTAACAGTGGCGTCACTGGGGAAACCTGATGGCAGTGAGAGCGTGGGGGTGGTGCTGAAGGGAAACTGCTGTTTGGAAGAGGTGCTGTGACAGGGCTGGGAGGAGGTGCAGGGCACAGCAGTAGAAATTGTCCCCCTCACTGTCCGCTAAGGAGCCCGAGCAAGCCCGATTTACATACTCTGCTATTTGACTCATGACGTGTTCATTTAAAGGCCATTCCTTCTTTTACAAAGCTGTCCTCACACCCTTTTCTACATCAGGGATATTTTAAAGTCATTTTCACTTCATTCTGAGAAGGAATGTGGCATCATTTAAAAATTTATCATTTTTAAATATTTATAGAAAAGCACATTGAATCGAGTTTATGGAATCATTTCAAAGACAAGTCTACAACATAAAAGACCCTGTAACTCAGGGTTGAAGAAATACAGCATTCTAAGCCTAAAGGAATGAAATCACCTCCATAATTTAGGTGTTTCTGTGTTATTCTTACCTCAAACAGTTTGTTCCACAGCCAAGAAGAGTTTGTAAAGACCCCAGTGGCTCCAGATCCCAAAGCTATGTCCATAGCACCTGCAAGACACAGGTGAACCCTTCAGGCCAGCATCCAGTCTCTTCTGGCAAGATGGGCTTCTCCACCGCTGTGCAGGCCAAAACTTTAGCCTTTAACCCTACTTTAATGTCTCCCTCATTTTCAAAAAAGATGATGTTGGGAAATCCTTACCATATATATTTAATAGCTTTTTAGTTTCTCAAGTTAGAATTCACCCTCAATTATTAAGGAAAATGCAAAAAAGCAAACATCAAATATCACCAATGATCTCATCCCAGGGATAACCATTATGTATTTTTATATTTCTCTCCAAATTTTATAAACTAAAAAGAAAACAAAAAACAAAACCCATAACTAAGACCACATTGGACATGTTCAAGTACATGTTCTTCCTCTTATGCTTTAAATGTTTATTCTTCTTTTATAAACAAATTCATTAGAAGTATTCTTAATGATTTTATAAGTCTACTGGGTAGAGGTACTGGCCACCTCATTTTATTACACTTTGTTTTACTGCAATTTGAAGATACTGCATTTTTCACACATTGAAGGTTTGTGGCGATCCTATGTCAAGCCTTTCAGAGCCATTTTCCTAAAGCATTTGTTCACTTTGTGTCTCTGTCACATTTTGGTGATTCTTGCAATATTTGGAACCTTTTCATTTATTTGTTACTGTGATCTGTGATCAGTGTTCTTTGATGTTACTACTGTGACTCACAGAAGGTTTAAAAGATGTTTAATTAGCATTTTTCAGCAATAAAGTATTTTTGAATTAAGATATGTACATTGTATTTTTAGACATAATACAAATGGGTCACTGCAAACATAACAGTGACCCATATGTAAAAGCCCGTGATTCTGCATGACATTTGGGCGACTCTGTTCAGGTCATTTGTTCCTTGGGCTTTTGTTACTCTACCTCCCAATAATCTCTCAAACCTATCCCTTTCCCTTCACCATGGCTACCACCATCATCTACCACTGGACTATGGTAACAGTTTAAAAAAAAAAAACGTAGTCAAAAACTTCAAACATACACAAAGCAAAGGGAATAATATAATGGACATACAAGTACCCATTAAACATCATCAATGATTATCAAGTCGTGGGCAAACTTGTTTCACCTGCACGCCTAGACCCAACAGATAATACTGAAGTCAAACACACTCACTCTTAACACACACACTTACACATCTAGAGCCAATAACCACACACCGCTCACCAGCCCACCTGGCCTGCCAACCTCTCCTTGGTCCCTCTCCCTTGTGGCTGGCACACTGTTGGCCAAGGACCCTTTCGCAGCACCAGCTATCTCACAGTCTCCACTCATCGCCTCCTGCTGCACTTGGCTCCAGACTAAATCCTGCAACACGCCAAGGCCAGCGGGGACTGGTGCCTACCAGCATGTGGGTCCAGAGTGTCTTGACCCCACCACACTCTGTTCCTCTGTCCTGTTCATCACTGCCCCACACTCCAACCTTGAGGGGTGCGTTCTGAGGGATGCTCTTCCTTCCTTGCTCCACCCGGTGATGCCTCTTCCTTCAGATTCCAGCTCAAGCCGCACTTCTCACAGTGCCTGACTTCCCGTACCAGTCAAATTGCCAGATACACAGGCTCTCATGAACTCCTTTTAACTAGGTTCCTCTGTGCTGGTCAGTGTGATGACCCAGACTGCCACTGCCCAAGGGATGCGGGCCTCACCTCTCTGTCCCACCTCCATATTCCCAGCCATTCACAGGAATTAAATAGGGGCCAACTGAGTCAACAACTATTCATTACACCTACTATATCCCAGATACTACGGCGGGTGCTGGTTACTCACTGCCTATAGTCTGTCTATACGGCTGGGTGGGATACATCTTCAGCTACATATACATACTCACGAATGCTTTACTTTTCAAGTTAGTGGCCTCTTCCATATTTATTCACTTGTCCTTAAAACATTCCTGTCAACCACACAAGTACCTTGCATCAGTGTTTGAATTTCTCAGAGAGAAGATAAGCACTGGCCACAAACAAGAATGTGATGTGACATCCTCTCTTAAAGGAAGAGAAAATGGGAGACATAAATATTTAATGTGATCCAACAGGGATCATGGCTCTAAAGATGATTTCATTACATATTTCAGAAAATAATTATTTTCTACACAATTACAGAACTAGTACCACACCAATTTCAGAAGTACCATTATTGGGGGCACACTTCAAAAGTGGGGGCATACTTCAAAAGTGCCTATTGAAGCTGTATTAAACGCTAACTCATCCATGTTACCAGAATTTCTCAGTATGGAAGAAACATCAAAGCTGAAGTTACCACTCTCATTCCATCCTAAGCACAGACATTAAGAAAATGAGTGGTATCATGACTGAAAGGCACCCATTGAGCAGTCACTGCTCCTATAGTCTGCTACAGGCCTGCTTTTTAAAGGTCAATAACATCAGTCCAGTGTGTGCCAAGCCAGGCACAACCACCTGTATCATCTCATTTAATTCTCACAGGCAACCACCCCTGCCCCTGCCAAAGAGGTGCTATTATACCACTTTTACAGACGAGACCACTTAGACACTATCAAAGTTACATGCTCTTAAGAGGCAGCACAAATTTTAAAATGAGGTCTTCTCCCTCTAAAAACTTATATGTTCTTTTTCCTGCTAGGAACTCTGGTTGGAAACGTTCTCATCCTCCCCTTTGAATCCCAGCTCCTGGAACTCAGAAGGGGCTCAGTCAGTATTTGGGGAACTAAAGCAAATCATCAACAGCCTTAAGTAAGGACAACGGCTGGGGTGACCTGAAGACTCACCTATCAGGCTGCCCTTAGTTAGCTAGATCCAACTTTCAAACCCTCTCATACCTCCAAGTTTGGGGAAAAAAAAAAAAGGATGGGGGCGGTGGGGAGGCACTGTGTCTCCTCATTTACAGAAAGGGAGTCCTACCACCCACCTCAGCATTGCACCTCAAACACCAGCCCTAGAACCTCCGTTGTTCAGCTTAAAGTGTTTGCTAAACTGAACAGAGACAAAAGACCATAAAAATACTATAACACCAGCTTAGAAAAAAGGAGTCTAGCAGATGAATCTATGGACTATTGTTAGAATCACATAAAAAAGAAACATGAACTGATTTTCTGTTAAAGGCTCACATGACCAGAATAATTATGAGGAAAATGATCTGAATTTTAATCTTAAAAGAGCTAGAGACACAATGAATCCCTAAAGTGAACTGTTGCATAAAAGATTATGAACATTGAGCTTTTGCAATAAGGTAATGACCACTGTCATCCCTTTAAGCATTTATTACTACCCCACAGAGCCAGTGGTCTAGCCTGTTGCATGCCAGCACTGTATTAAAAGAGGCTTTTCAGAAACTCCTCCCAATCTTCAAAACTCTGCGAGGTAAACAGACTTGTCCCGAGGTAAACAGAGGTACTGATGTTTGAAGGTGTCAGGGAAACCAGCCCAAGGCTGGTAGACTAGGAAGTAGCACATCTGGGAGCCACCCCCGTGTTGGCCTTAAGTCAACATGCTCCACACAACAAACGCATTTACATGGCTCCGTCTCTGAGACATGACCCTGCCACTCCCAGCCCTCACCCCAGTGTTTTTATTTCTGTATAAACTCAAATACAAAAGTTCAGAAAACACTCAGGGGGATCAGATACATCTTCTACACCTCATGGACTGTAGCCTGCCAGGTTCCTTGGTCCATGGCATTTCCCAGGCAAGAATACTAGAGTGGGTTACCATTTCCTTCTCCAGTGGATCTTCCTGACCCAGGGACAGAACCTGAGTCTCCTGCTTTGGCAGGTGATTCTTTACACTGAGTTACTTGGGTAGCCCATCATGATTAATAAAAGCAACTGCTGATTTGGCAATTTATCACTACTCTTTTCTGAGCAGTATCAAATGGCAACCATAACAGAAAACATTGCTTTGCATCATTTTTAGCTGTCACTGTGGATGGGCTGACCTGATCCACTTGTTATTTCTTTTTTTTTAAGTATAGCCTGGGATGTTTCGAAACCACAAACCTAAGATTCAAAGCAGTTTACAACTGCAGTATAATTCTTTTGGTGAAAGATCTTTGAACACAAATGGAGCTCGCCAGATTTCAGCAAAATAATGCCCTGAGTACAATGTGTGCACTCGATGGCAACAAATGAGACTTTCTTCAAACAAAAGCAGGAAAAGCACACTGTCTGACCTGTCAGGGTGGCGGCATTAATGATGAGCTTTGGGTTAAAAGTGTGAGCGTAGCAGAGCGCATCGGCCAGGATGAGTCTCCCCTCGGCATCAGTGTTATCCACCTGCAAAGAGGAAGGTCAAAAGACTAAAAGGATAAGATGATACAAACAATGAATACAAAATCTAGACACTCAGAGCAGTGTTCAATTTAAAAGTACAAAAAGGCTGCTGTGATGTGTCATCAATTATAAAAAATATACTACCATTAAAATAGGAATATATTTACTCTTAAGAGCAAATATAATTTAATAATCCCTGTATCAGAGCTGATGACCAAATGCCGATGACTTTGGAGGCTGAAATAAAGAGAAGTGTCTAGTTCACATTACCATTAAGTTTATGACAGGAGTGGGGAAAATGTCAAGATTTTCAAAAACAAAAAGGTGAAAGAGTTGAAGAAAGATACACTAAAGCAGCAGCCTGGATCTCCAGACCGGAGAACTCTTGCAACTGCAGCAACTTCAGCTATGTTAGATATAATATATTTCTTCTTTTAAATAGGCTTAGTCCTTATGTGCAGTGTATGTAGGCATGTGCCCAGCGGAGGACTTGCTGCCACATCCCCAGATGCAGCGCCCATGATGCAGGACCTGTTTTCCTCTCAAACACTTGCTAAATGGAAAAGTTGCCACATCAGAGGTGTATCCAGAAAACAGCCTGTACTTTTCCTGCTTTGCCCTGCTCTACAGGGCTGGCTGCAAAGTCATAAGCTGTGTGTATAGCATACAGCAAGTAGGAGGAACAGTAAGGTAGGGAAAACAATCTTAAAATTCCGATAAAGAAATACCTTTGACTGCACGAAAAGCTACTCATAATAAAGGTACTTCCCTTCCCTAAGCGGGGCCCGCACTCTGCACCCATTCAAGGCAAGGAATAGCAGAACTCAGAGGCTGTGTCTTCCACCTACAAACCTGTATGGTCTTCCCGTTCCTGGCTCTAACAACATCCCCAGGCTTGTTGGCCTTCCCACTGGGCATATTTTCACAAAGAGGAGCCAAACCTGTTTTTTTTTTTTAAAAAAAAAAAGAATACATGAATGAACATGGAGTGTGCTATGTCCAAATATGCCACCCATGGGACTGAGGTCACAGCGGACCCTCAACAGATGTCAGTCACAGACATCACCTTGACTAAGTATTTGAGTTTAGCATCACAAGTGAACCAAGTGGCATTATATGAACCAATGACAGGAAGCACACATCACTCTTTCCAAAGAAGTCTAATTCTATCATGAAGAAATAAGCAAAGAAATCCGAATCACGGAACATCACAAGATAAGCTTGAACCTTTAAAAACTTCCAAGAAAGGGCAAAAAAGGGGGTGGGGTGGTAATAGGTTCTGGAGTAAAGAAAATTAAATGGACATGATGACTACATGCAAGGGGTGATCCTTGAGTGGCTCCAAAATTTCAAAACCAAATACAAAGAAATAAATGCTTGTGTATATAGACACACACATAAAACTAACATTTTGTGGACAACTGCGCAGTTTGAATTTGGTTACTGTATCAATCCCTGGGAATGACAATGGTATTATCATTACATAGAATGTCTCTGTTCTTAGGAAATACAAGCAGAAGTATGCAGGGGTGACGTATCCTCATGTCTGTAACTCACTTGTCAGACAGACCTGGACCACAGTCCTACTTACTCGTGCAATGGAGGTGACACTGGGCAGGCCAATTCAATCTTACTCCCAACCTCCAGGTCCCCCTGTGACACATGACAAACCTCCAGCATTATGTCTGGCATCCTGCACTACAAAAATCGCTGCTGCAAACGGAGGATTTTTTCTGTCCCAAGCGCTTTTTCTGCATGTCAAGGCGTTTATAATCAGCTGCAACTGCATGAGATAATCACTACCCTACTTATCAGGCATTTTCCGTTGGAGTAAACTGCACACTTGACATTATGTGCCCCTGACTGCTAACCACATTTTGCAGAAGTAAAACAATCAATTCTAGTTACTCCCCATAATGCAGAATACATTTAACTCTGCCAGTTAAGACAACACTTAGCTAAACAAAGAGCTTCTGCCTGATGAAAACCATTTGAAAATCATTTCTTGATCTTTTCAGATTAAAGGAAATCATGTTTGTTGTCTCCATTCTACCACCTGACTGGATTCTAGAAGCTCTCCAAGACAGCCGCCCACACACCTACGATGTTGATGGGCAGGTCGAGCTTGGCAGCAGACACGATGGCTGAACAGATAGTGGCAGCTCCTCCCATGTCGGCCCTCATGAGGTCCATGTTTGCAGCCGCCTTGATGGAGATGCCACCACTGGGGGGAAAGGACAATGTACCATGTTAAGAGCTAGAGGGGGCTAGAAGCACTCTCTTAAAAAGTGTGGGGTGAACTACCACATACAAGCACTAAGAAATATCCAAATTGAGAATCTGAATGTTTTCACCATTTAAAAAGACAATATTGTGGTTGTTATAAAAGACACAAAATAATTCCAGAAGTGCAGGGGGTGGGGGGTATCTTGGTTCATTTTATTTCTGTCTGAATGAAATGTTAGCATTGCCACTGGAAACATTACTACATCATATAGTCAACGCTGGTTAAATCCCGTCTGAGCTCTGAACACTCATGTAGATTTGTCTTTTCAGCAAATTTTATGAATTAATCAACTTATTGAACCTGAAGGTCACAAGCTGTTGGGGAAAACAGACCAGTTCACAGAAGACTGGGAGGATCCCCTTTCAACTCCTAGGAAGACAGGGGAAAACTCATTCTGACAGTCCCAAGGTACACCAGATCTTGCAGATAGCAAAATACAACCCACAGGCACAAGGAAGACACCAGCCCAAAGCCTTGAGACAGTGCCCAAACACAAGGGCAGGGAAAGGTTTCAATCCACAAGAAACCCAGGCCACTGCCCCAGCAGACTTCTGAACTAACAAGTGACTTCTCTGCTCCCAGTTTATAAGAACTTAGTGCGACTTGCTTCATAGGCTGGGCAAGGAGGCAGGGGCTCCAACTTTGAGCTCTAAGTGGATTCTGCTGCTGACCTGTCCTGGTGAGAGAGAATCAACTCCTTGCTCTGACATCAGCTCACCTTAGAAATCAGGCCCTAATTCTCACTCACCTCCAAAGCACTTGCTAGTGAGATGGTTGTCATTTATACACCTAGAATTAAAAGATTATCCATTGGCTCAGAATAAGAAAAGGACATTCCTGGTCCAAGAAGTCCAGAGATAACCCCATGGGGGCAAGGGGAGCACACTTGGTCCTTCTATCTATTTTTAGGCTGCTTCCACTCAAGGGGTGCCACTCTTACATAGAGGACTATCGTTTCAAATAACCACCAGTTATCTTTGCTTACTTTTTAGATTCCCCTCCAATCCATCCATTTCTTTTCTCCTACATCCATCCTAGCTGAGGCTATCACCATTGATCATTCAGATGTTTGCCTAGCTCCTATATATCCAGATGTCCTATAGCAGTCTTACCCCTTCACTTCGTTACCCATACAACTATGAAATGTTTACAGATAGATGGGGAAAAAAAAGATAAGCAGAAGAACCTCAAATGCTTTTTAGAAGTATATACAAAAATTCAAGATAGATCACAGCCTTAAAACCTAAAACCTTAGAACACAAAGACTTGGCAAAGGTAGTTTCTTAAACAAGGCAGAAAAAAGAATAAACTATAAAATTAAAAACTGCTAACTATATCTCACTGCAAATAAAAACTGGTCTTAAAAAGACACCACTTTAAAGGATATATATCTGGAATATATTTTTAAAAAACATATAACTCAGTAAGACAAACACTCCTATAAGTGTTTTGCCAAGGGCAAAAGGCTTGAAGAGATACTTCACTAAAGATGTACCAATGGCTAATAAGCACATGTTAAAAATGCTAAACATCATTAGTTAGAGAAATGGAAAATAAACCTCAAAGAAATACTACTACACATTCCCTGAGTGACTAGAACTAGAAAGACAGACACCATGAAGTACTGGGGACAATGGGGAGCAACTAGAACCCTGTACACTGGTGGTGGGAATGCAAAATGGTATAACCACCTTGGAAAAGTTTGGCAGTTTCTTGTCAAGTTAAACATGTAGTTATTATACAACTCAGCCCTCCTCTCCTAGGTATTTAACTAAGAGGAAGATAAACATATATCCACACAAAGGCATACAGATGATGCTGGCTTCTATAATTAATAACTCAAAACTGGGACAACCCAAATTTCCCTCAACAACGATTAGATAAACAAATGCTGGTATTTCCCTACAATGGAATATGACCAACAACATGGTTAAATCTCAAAGATAATACGCTGAGAAGGAGGCTAGACTTTTTATTAAAAGAGTCCATGTAAATGAATTTCTGGAAGAGGCAAAAGTAATCTACAATAACAGAAAGATGGCCAGCCATCTGAGGTGGGGGTGAAAAAGGGGATGAGTGCAAAAGAGCACTCTCCAAAATTCCCAAGGGAGTTTTTGGGGCATTGAGGAAATGTTTTATTTTCATGATAGAGGTGGTTGTTGCAGGAGTGTGCACATTTGTTAAGCTCACTGTATTGAACACTAATGTCATTCTTTCCCTCCACTAGACACCCTTCACTTACTTCTAACTGTTCAAAGCCCAAAATCTAATGAGGTCCAGAACAACCCAGTTTCTGCCAACCTCTCCAGCTGTGCCTTGACCCCTGCCCCAGTCATGCACTGTCGTGGCTGCTCTGGCCGTTTTTTCAGAACCAGGAATTTCCCCTCTTTCTTCTCATCTACAGCCTTCACCTGGCTCTGTTCCTGACCTACTCCCCACAGAATTAACTCCCTTATCCTTCACATCTTAAGCTAAAAGTGTCACTCCTTCTAGGAAGCTTCCCTAAACCAAAAAGACTAGGTCAAGCGTCCTTGCTAAATATCCCCATAACAAAAGTTGAAATACAGATTTAAACGAACAAACAACTTCACCCTGAGCATAAAAGTTTTGCACTGACATTACCCCATGATAGTATAAAACTGTCACAATTAGCAAGACATTTAAGAACAACTTTCACTCTCTTGATTTTTATTTACTGTAAAGTTTTATTTATTTTTATTTTTGGCTGTGCCATGGGGCTTGTGGGATCTTAGTTCCCTGACCAGGGGCTGAACCTGGGTCCCAGCAGTGAAAGCACTAAGTTCTAACCACTGGATCACCAAGGAATTCTCTGCTGTAGTGTTTTACAAAACACATTTCAATACAACAGTATATGCATATGATATAAATAAATATGCATATTTTTCAATGGTATGAGCTCAAATCTTTTACTGATGGGCCACATAATGAAGATCATTTGGAGACCAATGTTTTTTTTAATGCTTTAAATAAAAGAAAGTGAACCACTGAAAGGAAAACACAGGAGGCACTGCAGTCTGCTGGTGTAAAGAAGACCACTCTGGCAGTCAGATCCGCCCAGGAGAGAGGCATCACAGTACCTAGGAACACTCTTCCAAGGGCAGGATTCATTCACATTTCAGATGGAGTTCTTGAAAGGGTACAAAAACATACTAGGGGACATCAAAATTTCATAGATCTCTAGCAGCATTTTCCAAAGCAGTTTCTATGGACCATGATTTGCTGAGATACAAGTGCTCTTCAAAAGGAAATTTAGATGTTAATTATATTTCAATTAAAAAGAAAAAAGATTTAGAAAATGCTGTATTCTGTACCTCCAAGAAGTACTATAGTTAAAACAAAATAAAAAACTTAATTTGTTTTATCTAACCTAGACTTTTAATCAAGTAATCTTTTTCAAGATTACTTTCTCACATTTAATTAGCATCCCAGAAACCAGTATTCAGTAGCAAATGCTTTCCATGGGAAATACTGACTCAGACCATCTTTTCCAACTCAGTTTCTCCCTGGTTGAAATAGCCAGAGTGAGCTTCCATTTCTAAGGAACACTTATGGCTTAAGGCAGGGATCCCCAACCTCAGCTGAGGTGGAGCTGATATAATAATAAAATACTCAATAAATGTAATGCGCTTGAATTATCCCAAAACCATCCCCTACCCTCCAGCCCCCTAATCCGTCTCTTCCATGAAATCAGTCCCTGGTGCTAAAAAGGTTGGGGACCACTGGTTTAAGGAGATTAATGAAAGCTAGACTGGTTAGCAAAAAATGTGAGCTGAAGTAAGCAAAGGGAAGATAGCATAATCCACATAGCTGCCTCAGTTTATCCAGCTGGAAATCTTAACATCCCCATAGGAGAATCAAAGTGTATGGTGGAAATATTTGAAGGCATTTTAAACACACTGCTAAGTTTGATTTCTGACTCTATTAGTTATGGAGCTTTCAAAAAAATTATTTAACCTGAGTCATAAATGCCTCACCTGCAGAATGTCCACAACGCCTAGCTCCTAGGGATAAGATCAGGGCTAATATATGTAAAATGCCCTAATACAGCCTCTGATACACAGTAGGCATTTTATAAGTGGTGACCTAATACATTTAAAGTAACACATAAGATATGACCAAACACCATACTTCTGAAGCAAATTACACACCAAATAATATACCTGCATGCAAAGCATTCACCAAAATACAAAGCACGGATACAACAAGTACGTACCTGTCAAAGGTAATCCCCTTCCCAACAAACACCAAGGGAGGTTCACTTGCATTAGGACTGCCTTTGTAGTGAATTTCCAGGAAGACTGGAGGCTCTTCGGACCCTTTGGCCACACTTAGAAATGATCCCATTTCCTGTTCCTCAATCCAAGACTTGGGTCTATACAGCAGGAAAGGAAAAATATAAATACACATTGTTCTATTTCAATAACAATAAAGTCATCTGTGTGTAAAGAACAGTATAACATACAAGCTTTTAAAATATATACATGTTATGTTCTGAAAATATATACATGTTAATGCTTTAATTATCACCTATCTGCTTTGTGTATATTCCTGAGTCAGTCACTTGACTCTGAATCTGTTTCCTCGTCTACAAAATAAGATTAACGACACCTCCTTCAAAAGATTAGCTGTAGAATTATAAAAGAATTCATGTACAGTATGTAATATGATGTCAGGTAACCGTGCATAGTCGAAGGCTAGGGGCACAAAAGAGCTTTGCATTGATTTCTGGCCACAGTAATTAAGCCAAGGGAAGGCTTCTACCCTCCTACAGACAGACCAGAAACAACATCATTCAAGGAATGCTCCTCTGGCACCTGCCTAGCCAGAGGAGCTAAGCAGGTGAATGAAATTTGTTGAAACTATTAAACTAGGACTTCATCATAGAGAGATGGCCACCCAACTTCAGAGGGAGAAGAATATAAAAAAGGAAGATATGACAATTCAAAGAAACTCACTTCAAAAGAAGCGAGGCTGTATAATGTGGGCATTTTTAATCACAAACCTAGTACTTGATGTTTTATTAAAGTCTTGCCCTTCTGGAAGTACAGTCTGTACTTCTTTGATTTACACCCACCTAACGCTAGAGTGCAGAGAAGGCAATGGCAACCCACTCCAGTACTCCTGCCTGGAGAATCCCAGGGACAGCGGAGCCTGGTGGGCTGCCGTCTATGGGGTCGCACAGGGTTGGACATGTCCGAAGCAACTTAGCAACAGCAGCGCCAGAGTGAGATTGATGCAGCTGCCTCAACTGAACAGGCCACCTTCCGCCCACCTGACCTGCCCCGTCTCTGGCTGAGTTCCCTTTGCTCCACCTCAAGCCTTGCGGTTTCCCAAGGCCACTGCACACGCGCTTCTGCCCTGCTCTCTCGTCTGTTCACCTCCCTGACTGCTTAGGCACCCTTTTTGTTGGCAAACCTTTTCAGTTCTCCCACAATTCTCCCCAGCTCTCTGCTCTTGCAGCACCCCCATACCAGTTCCCTTCCTATTCCTTCCTGCAAAGCCCTCAGTTGTCTGAGGCCAAGAACCACCACCACCCATCTTTATTTGCCAAGGTCCAGGCACACAGGAGGTGCCGTTACTAAGACATGTGGCTACACGGCCACGGTCTGCTGACAGAATGTAGCTCTGGTGTCTCCTTAAGTAAAACAAGGAGCAGTCTTCACCAAGACACCTTTTTAGAGACTAAACATTGCCACAGAATACACAGCAACCATCCCACAAATTTTATCAAGCTCCAATACTGCATTTTCTATAGACGGCACATTTTCTCTATCTAGATCACAGGAGTTTCCCTGAAAAAATGTGAATTCTAATCACAATTAAATAATGAAGAATCCTTTTAAATGGAAGCACCCTTGATTAGCAACTTTGATAGTAAAGGATTCTTTAGGTGAAGCAAATATCTGTCGAGTTACTTTCATCATAAATCCCCAAATACTCAGACTTGGTTTGCTTAAGATTAGGGGGAGTTCCCAAAGAGGGCAGAAAGCCTAGAGGTGCAGCCTTTTAGGTTCAACAGCAAGGCTGCTAACAACAAACCTCAGGACAGCCAGGGAACACCAGCTCTGTTATCTGATCTGGCTAAGAGAATCTACTAGGGTATGCTATGTTATTCACTTATGTCAAAAAAGAGAAAAGACAGAAAGAATTCACCAAAACAAAACACAATATGTACACTCCTCAAAAAGGTAATAGAGTTACCATTCAATCCAATAATTCAATTCCTAGGTACATGGCCAATAGATACGAAAACACTTGTCCACACAAAACTTTGTACACAAATGCTCACAGCAGCATTATTTGCAGTCCAAAAAGTATGTGCTGTGCTTAATTACTCAACTCTTTTGCAACTCCATGGACTGTAGCCTGCCAGGCTCCTCTGTCCACGGGGATTCTCCAGGCAAAAATACTGGAGTGGGTTGCCAGGCCCTCCCCCAGGGGATCTTCCCAACTCAGGGATCAAACCCAGGTCTCCCGCATTGCAGGCAGATTCTTTACCGCCTGGGCCACCAGGGAAGTCCATCCAAAAAGTATAAACAACCCAAATGTCTATGAACTGACGACTGGGGAAAAGGGAAATGAGGAGTGGGTATAAGATTCCTTTTACAGGGTAATGAAAATGTTCTAAAATTGATTGTGGTGACAGCAGCACAACTCTGTAAATATACTAGAAATTACTGAATTGTATATTTTACATGAGTGAATTGCATGTTATATGAATTATATTTCAATAAAGCTGCTACAAAACACATACAAAATGCAGTGTGAAGTCACAACACTGTCAAAAGCAAGGCGAGATATGACAGAAATAAATCTCAAACTGAACCCTTACCCTTAGTTGTGTGTGGATGCCAGAGGGTCACTTTACCTCTCTAGTCTCAAGTTAATTTTCTGAATGGTGAGAGAGCTGGATTTTAGGATCTCTGAAGCTGGCTCTAGCATCATATGAGTCTATGGTATAATCCTGAATTACCTGATGAAGACGTCTGTTTTACTACTAGCACTTTTGAGATTTTCCCCAACAATTTCAGCAAATTTGGTTGGCGTCATCTCGTTGGCAGGTGTCTCCATCAAGCGGCGCGCCAGGTTCTGCCCAGAAGCAAAGAGGACGCCCCTCTGCCAGGCCTCCTGGTCCTCGCTGGCAGAAGAAAGCACAAGGTCACCGTCAGACAGCCTCTCCAGACACTGACCACAGCCCGGCAAGGTGGGCTCTTACTGAAGACAAGTGAAAAGTGATGGACAGAGGGACCCAAATTTATTCTTTGTAATCTGAACCAGGGAGGCAGCTGTTATGGTTTACAAAGAGCTGGAGAGACTTCCCTGGTGGGTCCAGAGGTTGAGACTATGAGTCTCCACTGCAGGGGGTGCAGGTTTGATCCCTGGTCAGGGAACTAAGACTCTGCCTGCTTCGTGGCATGGCCAAAAACAAAAATAAAAGCCAGAAAACATGACCCCCATTGAGCGAAGCAAGAGAAGACCTAGAATCCTCTTCTGTATGAAAAAGGGGTTAGCCTGACGGACCTCTGAAGCCCTATATCTGGCCCCCAGTCTGACAGCAGATGTGCTCGCAGAAAGGCCTGAGGGGCTGCAGAACACGCTCCCCCTGCTCAGTCCTGCTAGAGAATTGCCAGCTTCCTGCCTTCTCCCTGCCTGGCTCAGGACCCTGAACTCCGACCTGCCAGAAATCAGGGTTGGCTTCAGAAAACAAAGGACATGGGCCAACTTTCCAGGACCCTGGCTCTTCTTGTGCACCACAGGAATTAACACATGTGGTATGGGGACAGACAAAAAAAACACTCATTGTTTACAGAGCTCACCGTGTGCCATACACTTGATGGGTTTTGCCTTTGATCATAAAAGTCCCATGAGATCTGATTCACAACTCTACTCAACCGAAGAGGAAGATGATTTCTGTCACTTCATTGAGGTCACCCAACCAGAAAGTGAGAGCCAGCTTCAAAGCCAGGCTGATGGGTCACATGGCCCTCATTTTCACCCACTACATCACAGGTGCCAACAAGACCTCCACTGTCCCCCACCACGTCTTCTGAGGGTCTCACGCTGTCTGCTCCTGAACCCAGCACAGGACTGGAGTATAAGTGGTGCTCCAAAAATGTGCCCAAAGCTGGTTCTCCCCACCAGACTAGGAGGGCAGGGACCGGATCCCTGCATCTGCTTATCTCTGGTCTTGAGCACAGAGCCCGCAGCTGCTAGGTAGATGGAAATGATCTGCATCAAAACCTTCTGGGACCCTTCTGTCGTCTTGTTCTATCCCTCCTCAGGGGGCCAACCAGGAACAGTTTCCTAGGAACCAGCAAGCAGTGAGAAGGGATCTAGAGAGTCAGAGGGAAACACACACAGGAGCAGCCAGGAGCAGAACAGAGGCAGAGTCATCATACTCCTAACCCGACTCAGGTCAGGAGAGAGCCACAGACAAGCCATGAGGCAGTGCCGGACGCTGAAAGGCAGGCAGCTCACGTCCAGGAGGCCGTGCCATCAGCACACAGGGAGTGGACCTGGTCCTCGTTTCGTGCCATCACCTTCCATGGAGCTTGGCCGACACCACCACCTTCCTTTTCTGCTTTAGATCATCATACTCATAGAGCCCGAGCACCGCTCCTTCCGCAGCCGCCTGGGCATCTCCGCAGGGGTCCACCTCCACGGACGGGATCTCCAGGTCCTGAATCTGTCTGCACCCAGCTTCACAGGGCAGAGGAACCAGAAAACCAGAGTCAGTCAGGGACCCCTCAGAGGGCAGAAGGCAGAGACTTAGGGTGGGGGCCTGAGAAAACATCAAGATTGGGTTCAAATCACAGCCCTGACATTGGTCTTTCTGAGCTTTCACATCTTCCCTTTCTGTACAGTGAGGACATGCACACGCCTCACATGGTAGTAGGAGGACAGAATGATGGGTAAAATGATTGGTCTCACTCACAAGGAAGTGACTGCTATTACTAGTACCACTTCTGAAACACTAGGGTTCCCTGAGGAAATGTCCCAGTCACTAGAGGCTTGCCAGATTAAAAATGAAAGAGCAGTGATGACTCTGAAATTATAGCCAAGGAACTGAGCAAAGTCCATTACTAACACAGCATTTATTAAGATCAGGTCAGCAAAATCTCTCAGACAAAAGTTATGAGATAATCACCGACCATGAACTTTGAAAGTCAATTTAACAAGCACATGTGATATATGTGGGGTCACACCACAATCCAGCTAACAATCCCCGCCTCAGCGATGGTGTTCAAAGCATCTTTAACCACAGTCTCCTCGATGAAGGCCTCATCCTGCCACTCAGCCCTGACAGGACCCAAAGGCACCTACTCCAACTTTTCAAACTGTCCATGTGACAAACTGGGACAGGCACACACCTCTGGTAACTAGTGATAAATAAGCACCTTGTACTTTGCATCCATTTTCTCTGATGTGTAAATAGTTATGACTCCATGTGATTTAAAACTGGGGTAACACCACGGATACATTACAAAAAAAGAAAAAAACAATCTACCCACCAGGACTTTCTGGCAAAAAAGAGTTCTAGGGTCAATTCTGCAAGAGAGAACAAATGGTACTAAAACCCCAGAAACAAGCTGCTGCCACTGCTGCTAAGTTGCTTCTGTCGTGTCCGACTCTGTGTGACCCCACAGACAGCAGCCCGCCAGGCTCTGCTGTCCCTTGGATTCTCCAGGCAAGAACAGTGGAGTGGGTTGCCATTTCCTTCTCCAACAGACACGAGCTAAAGAAATATAAAAAAGAAATTCCATAACCTAACCTTCTATATCTAAAGTAAGGCCAAGCATGCTGGGTAAGGAAAACTGAGTATTTGTTGAGGGTTATTTGTATGAATGTGGGAAGGATAATGATGGTAAGAGGACAAAAAGAGCTAAGATTGATAATCTTGCAGTGTGACCCTTAGGAATCTTTATCAACAGTAAACTTCAAAAGTTAAAGAACCTGCAACAGCGACTCTGATGTTTTCTTTGCCTTCATGCCAGTTCTCCTGTTCATCAACTCCAGCTGTCTTTTTGCCGAGGCCCACCACCACCACACTGGGGAAGTCCTGTTCCAAAAAATACAAAAAGTCAGCCACTTTAAAGCATCCATTTCTAGCAAGAAATGGTATATGACCTTTCACACAACCACCTTAACCTCCACACAGGACAAAACTCACCAAGAAATTTGGTTAATTTTTTTAAGCCCTGACATCTTGGTAAAATTTTATAACTGTGTGTTGGAAAGGCTGAGTGAGTACAATCCTGCAAATGTCTGTTTCTGTAAGACAGGGCTACTGAACCAAGAAAGCCTGTAGATTGAGGAATATGAGATGCAATACTTTTCGACAGCAATTTGCCTCTTTACAATTTAACTAATGCTTGTGGCTTAATACTGGGATAAAACTAATTCATAATCCCACACACAATTTTCTGTATAATGGTACAGCCAAAGTACTTGGCACATATAGGTGCTCACTGAGGGTTTGCCAAATAAACCTTATCTTCATTTCATACCTCATGCAGACCATAAAAGGTTCGGGTTTTGCCTGCCTTCAGGGGTGGTCCAGATCTGAAACAAAAAGAAATCGTTGTGTTAAAAATTATAGTTTGCTCTGTTCTCTTTAGAGAAGTGACATAAACCAACTGTATTATTACAGTGGTCTGATGCTTCTGCAAATTTGCTACTTATATTATCAAAAGCAGAACTCTCTTAGAACTCTCTCAGATTTCTCAGATGAAGTACTTCTAATTCTAGCTCAAAAACTCCCAGATTAGATTTAATACACTTGTTTTAAAACAATGATAGAAAGCAGTGCCATGGGTGGGTAACGCAGAGAAGACTGAGCACTGGATGGAGGCTGACCTCAATGTTAAATCTAATAAAAGATGTAAAGACACCAACCTAAGTGGCTGACTTGACTGCTCTGTGTTTAGCTTGGAGGATTTTTGTGATTTACCTACAGATGGGATACGAGGCAACTTCCAAACAAAGCAGCTGGCAACACACAATTACAGCCTGAGAACTGGATGCCCTGGTACCATGCAGTCAGGAAGGCCAGGCTGTTCTGTATTCATACAGGTTAGCTTTTGGATTAATGAATTATCAAAGCACTTCAGGGAGTTGTCGAAGGGTAAAGGACTGGTAATTGACAGGGGATGCTAATTCTGTCATCCAATAATTAGACAATTATTCTAATTATTAGGCTACATCTATCAGATACTAATAGGTTATCTGTAATTCAAATAATATGCAGTTGCAATGGGCTATGTTGACAACTGTTTTTGTTAAATTGCGGCCCATAGCAGAGAAGGACTTGAAATGCAAATCTTTTCCTACCTTCCCCATTCCCTGACTAATCCAAGAGTGGTTAGAATCTCAGGCCCCCACTAGATTTACTGAACTGGAATGTGCATTCTAACTACACCCCCAGGCGACTCACATGTCCTTTAAGATCTGAGAAGCCCTTGAAATTCAAAGCTTTTGATGCAGCCTCCTGAGGCTATCTGAACAGACTGTTCCCCCCAAGTGAAGAGGAGTTAAAGAGGCAGAGAGATTGATAGGAAGCAGGTGGGAGGTGGGGTGGGGAGAAATGAACTGAAGCCAGGAGGGCAGTCTGAGGAAATCTGGTACTTTGCAGATCCTTCTGGGTTAGCCTCTCGCAATACCCTGGTGATTTGGTTGAAGCAGCCTGATTTCTCAGAACTGTGACCTCACCCGACAATGGGCTATGCAATCCACAGACACTTACTTTCACTTCCACCAAGAACATCCGGGCCAGTGTATTTCTGTGCATTTTCCTCCACCAGCACAGAAAAGACTTTCTCTTTCACGCATTTGAAAAACTGAAATCCAAAGATGAATACGTACATGTTCAAAATTTCTCTCAGCTTCCCAGACACCAATTTATTAAAATTCTCTCCTGCACTTGTAAACTGAGGCTCATTTTCTTCTTTTTCTTTGCTATAGATTCCTAAAACAAGGCCCTGAGAAAAAGAGAGAAAAGGTGTATATGAGTAGAGTAGATCCCAGAGAGGGACTCAAGGGATCCCAAATTCAGAAAAAGCTAATCATTTCAACCAAACAGTGTCCTCCTCAAGGACAAAGGAACAAGGCCAAAAAAACAGCAGGTGCTGGGCAGTCAACTATACTCATATCCTGCCTATATGTTACAAACTCCTGCCAATACAAGAGCCAAATTACTGCCTGTCCTGGTCTTAATGGTCCCTCTCAAGAGCTTTCACAACACAGAGGGCTTTTCCTTCACTTTCCAATAAAGAAAGTAGAAAGGTACTTTAAGAAAACAATTCCCTTTTGTATCCAAGTCAGAACTGGAAGGGATTCAGAACATGCCACCCTAAAATATGCCAGTCTGGCATACTGATTACTTGAGGTGCAGGCAGCTAAGAAACAGCAGATGCAGGAACAGCTCTCTGATCTCTCCCCCTTTCTAAACAAAAGCTGGTCATAAAATTTCCCATGAGAAAGTTTCTTTCCTTGTACCAGCAAGAGAACGTCCTTATCATCAGACTGACGATAAGATTTGGGAGTCAGTACCAAAATGGACCTGTACAAACAAACCTACTAAAATAACCCTCATCCTCCCTTAGTTTCCCCCACATATTTCCTAGTCCCTGTTTCTCAACTGACTGCCCCTAGGCTCCTTTGCCTAATCACATCCCCACAATTTCTCATTCTCTGTTTCAAAAGGTATATAAGCTTTGGGGCCTTATAGGCTTCTTCGGGTCTTCTCCCTTTAGAACACAGGACACATAAAGATATGAAGTATAAATTGTATGCCTTTCTCTTGTTAATATAATCTGTTTTAGGTCCATTTCATTCTTAGGCTCAGCCCTAGAATCTAGGTGAGTAGAAGTTTTCCCTCCCTTACAACCTTCAAATGCAAAAATATGAAATATTCTGGATACCATCTCGATAAAGCCAAGGGCTGCACTTGCTGATACTAAAAAGTTCTCTGGCCAACTCATAGTCTGGAAGAGAGGAAAAGGATGCACCTTCCCTGGGAGGGACAGGGACAAAGCATTCTGTCAGCACTTAAAAGTGGCTTATCCTTTCATCTCCTTGAGCCCCAGGCGCCAAACACCTGAAACAAGGAAGTAAACCTAGGAATCCCTGCTTACGTCTGCATAGCAATTTATGACTTTAAAAATGTGCTCTGACTTAAGGTACTTCTGTAAGGTGGAAAGAACAGTAAGGAAACCGAAACCTGGTCTGACATACTAGCCTGGGGGTAACAGTACTGGGCAAGAATCCAGATGCCTTCCCTCAATGACCTCTGTGCTTGCTACAAAATCACACTGGTACTTACACAAAATCATGTCTTGTCTTTTCTACTTAAAAAAAAAAAAGGCTTCCTCTGCATTGGTAACCTTCCCAGATTCTAAGTTTCCTAAGGTTGCCCACTGCCTGGGGTTCCAGTGAACCAAGTAGGGAACTGATCAGACAGAACACAGATGTTACCTGAGCAGGATGTATTTCCAAAGTACTGGAAAGAACAAGGGACAGACCTCTGGTCCCTCGGCCACCCTGAGCTCAAGCCCCATCCAGAATACTCCTAGCCAGGGACAGTCCTGCTGGCCCTCAAGCCTGACTCCCACGCGTGTGCTCCCCGCACCGAGCCGTTTCTCCTTTCCAGATCCCCCCACGACCAAATTTTAGTGACCTTCACAACGTTTTGGAGCTCAATTACGTGGAAGAGGGGTTTCTTCTACAGGACACTTCTTTTAATCTCACGAACAGATGGCTCTCCCTGTAAAGCCCTTTTCCCTAGGGAGACATTATTTTTCTCTAGAAACCCTTCCAGGTAGTTTACTCCCGGAGGACCTGTGTTTTCCTGGCCTTCAACTTCAGCAGAGGAGGGAGGTCCTGGTATGGAACCCGGGGCCAGTGACTATCCGACTCTAGGACATTCCACCTCACCGATACTTGGGCATCCTCCTAGCTAAGGTGGGAACAATCCTGGGGCCGTCGTTCCCCGGGTTACTGGGAGAACTGAACAAAATAGCAAAATAAGGGCACGGTGCAGAGCTGGAGCTCAGGTAACGGTAGTTATCTATCTATGGCTATCAATCTCTCGCGCTCAGAGTTCGGATCCTAGCACTTTCAAGCAAGAGAAGGAAGACAGCATCCTCCACACGAGCCTAGGAGAATACTAGGGGGCGGGGGGGGGGGGGGGAGGTCTGCAGCTCCGCGCAGCCGAGCTCGGCAAAAGCAAGGTACTTTTCTCTTTAGCCGATGTCGCGACTTGGCTCAGAGGCCTGGGACACCGCGGCCTCGCCCCGCCCCGAAGTCCCCGTCGCCCGTGGGCAGGACTCTCGCGGCGGCCCCGGGGCGAGCCGCGGCCTCTCACCTTCGTCATGTCTGCGGCGGCTGGACCGGGTGCCCACAAACGCTTCACGCTCAGATGCCGGACGGCGACTCGCGCGGCAGCGGGAAGAGGCAGCAAGAACATCTTTTCGGCTCGGCCCCCCGTACCGCCCTCCACCGAGCACGTGGCGCCGGGAAGGCGGGCGCACGGCTAGAAGCCGGGCTTTGGGGGACGGCCTGCGCGCGCCTAGGGGTGGGGCAGGTGCCAAGGGGCGTGGCGTGCGTAAGCCAGGGGCGCGGCGGGAGGGCGTCAGTGGGCGGGGCTGTCGGGTGACGACCAACGCGCTAGCGGACGGACTCGGACCCGGACGAGTACGCATGCGCCCAAGGGGCGGGGCTGGCCGGGTCGACTGGGTGGTGCTGAGATAGAAGCGAGACGGTAGCGGGCGCCGCGGGCCAGCCCTTGCGGACTGAGGCGAAGAGGCGGCGCTTTTGGCGGAGCGCGCAAGAGAGGGGCGGAGTCGCGGTTGTGCTGTATCACAGGAGGCGGGGATGGAAGCGGGGCACCGACGAGAAAGGTTACACGTAGCTTTAGATCAGAATCTAAACTGCTTAGTGAGGGCGTTCCTGCTGAGTTATTTTTATTATTTTGATTTTTTGAACTTTTTTTTCTAAACTTCCATCTGGTCCAAGGGTTCACACATCTGGTCCAAGGGTTCACACATCTGGTCCAAGGGTTCAACATTGTAAGGCAGTTAGCCCAAATACTGTTTTTTGAAAAAAGAAGCTTTGCGAAAAGCGCTCAGTATTTTAATATATGTTTTTCAAAGAAGTCTTACATTTTTTTATTGTATGAATAAAATATGGTTGAATGGAACTAGGAGAACACGACGAAGCACAAAGAGGGATACAAAAAAATATCCTTACTGTTACACCAGTGTCTGAACCCAGTTTTAGCTGGATCTTTTTATCTCTGGCGCAAGGTGGGCGGGGTCCACGAACTAGACAGGAGTAAAGTCCTGGCCTCAGTGCCGGGAAGGAGAAAATGTCTATTTTACTGTACAAGGGCCGGACACAACAGAGATTTGACTGTTTTTGAAAAGGTTGGACAAGTTGGGCATAGTAGGTCCTCTTTGACTTTCGCTTCGTTTAGATAGTTAAAGAGTTGCATCACAAACTCAGAAAATTCACCTATGTCCATTTAAATGAGAAATTTTGTATTCACCTTATAGCTGTTTTCTTGTTCCGGTGAACTCAAGCTGCAGTTTCCATAGCCAGAAATTTGCTAAGACCTGCTCCTCAGCTTTGTGTGTGAGTGGAGAGGAGGGTTCTGTGAGCTTCAGAGGTTATGGTTGCTGCAGAGCCGTAAGTTACATTTGTGTCTATCCCCTTTCAGCAAATTCTGTCCCCTTCCTTTTGTTTGCTGTTCCTCCCAGAGAGAATTTGTTTCCTGGCATAGCCTCACTTACTTTCTTTTTTGCTTGGTCTTTACCATACTGTGCGTTTTCACATGCCTGATAGAATGAGGGAAAACAAATGTCACAGGCCTCAAATAATTTTTGTCGTTACTGAATAGTATTATTGGACACTTTGGGATGCAACTGGACATGGAACAACAGACTGGTTCCAAATAGGAAAAGGAGTACATCAAGGCTGTATACTGTCACCCTGCTTATTTAACTTATATGCAGAGTACATCATGAGAAACGCTGGGCTGGAAGAAGCACAAGCTGGAATCAAGATTGCCAGGAAAAATATCAATAACCTGAGATATGCAGATGACACCACCCTTATGGCAGAAAGTGAAGAGGAACTAAAAAGCCTCTTGATGAAAATGAAAGAGGAGAGTGAAAAAGTTGGCTTAAAGCTTAACATTCAGAAAACTAAGATCATGGCATCTGGTCCCATCACCTCATGGCAAATAGATGGGGAGACAGTGGAAACAGTGTCAGACTTTAATTTTTGGGGCTCCAAAATCATTGCAGATGGTGACTGCAGGCATGAAATTAGAAGACGCTTACTCCTTGGAAGGAAACTTATGACCAACCTAGATAGCATATTAAAAAGCAGAGACATTACTTTGCCAACAAAGGTCCATCTGGTCAAGGCTATGGTTTTTCCGGTGGTCATGTATGGATGTGAGAGTTGGATTGTGAAGAAAGCTGAGTGCCAAAGAATTGATGCTTTTGAACTGTGGTGTTGGAGAAGACTCCTGAGAGTCCCTTGGACTGCAAGGAGATCCAACCAGTCCATCCTAAAGGAGATCAGTCCTGGGCATTAATTGGAAGGACTGATGGTGAAGCTGAAACTCCAGTACTTTGGCCACCTCATGTGAAGAGTTGACTCATTGGAAAAGACCCTGATGCTGGGAGGGATTGGGGGCAGTAGGAGAAGGGGATGACAGAGGATGAGATGGTTGGATGGCATCACCCATCCAACCCAAACCCAATCCAAACCCATCGATGGACATGGGTTTGAGTAAACTCTGGGAGCTGGTGATGGACAGGGAGGCCTGGCATGCTACGATTCATGGGGTTGCAAAGAGTCGGACATGACTGAGCGACTGAACTGAACTGAACTGGGATGCAAGATTTAGTCATCCATCAAACCCTAAGTTCACAAGGTGTTTACTGTGTTTTTCTTTTAGAAACCATGGGGTACAACAGAATGTGAAACAGTCCCTAGCCTGAAGGACTTTATTACCTAGTAGAGGCAAGATATATCATGACCATAAAGAGATACAAATAGACACTGTTCCATACAGTTTATAAGCATATATACTTCTTTCTGTCCTTTTCTTTGCTTGACCAAGACATTGGTTTGGTGCCATGACTTCCAGGAAACCTTCACTGACGTTCCACACTTGGAACGTCATGTGCTCTCCCTTTGCTTCCAAACGGCCTGTCTCAAAGTATTGATCACCTGTATTCTCCTTGTCTGTTTCCCCTAGGCACCTTGGGAGCCATGGCTTTCATCTGTGAACTTCAAGTGCCTAGATCTAGAATTCAGACTGTGGTTGCCACATATATAAGGTGTTCATAAAATGTTTGAGTGAATGTGTGATCAAGGTCTACTGCGTGCAGCATTGTTTATTACAGAACAGAACAAGTCCCATTTATGGCCTTCAAATAATGCAAAAAACAGAAAATGATTGAAAGGAGCCAGTAGAATGGGAAGGATATAGATGATTGAGGAGGACATTAGGATATGAAGAAGTGTGTGGGAGGTCATTGGCTTGGCTTGGGGTGTAGGGATCAAGCTTGCCTAGAATAAAAGATTATAAAAGAGAGTGATGTTGGATTAAAGAGGATCTTAAAAGGCTAGAAGAGTTTATTATTGATGTGGGAGTCAACATGAACTCAACAAAGTTCTTTGCAGAAGCTGGGGCAGGGGGAAGTTATGAATTAGTACAGTTGATAGAAATTAGAGTCAAGAGTAGAGAAAGAGCAAGTGGTGTAGAAATTGTGCTTTGGTGAAAAACTAGTACTGTCCAGTGAGATTTGAGAAGATTCCTGTGGATTATCTGATTAAGATTCTGCAAAGTTCTTTCACAGCTCTGTAAATTGTTATGCTTTGCAATATGAGCCTTGTATGTAGGTATGGAGATTATGTCCTGTCTAGTAGAAGTTGGGGGAGGGCCTTGGGGGGAGGAGTGGTGTGGAAACCAGTCTTGTCTCCATTTGCACATTCATTTCAATATTCCTGATCCGTAAGTGTTTCTGTCCTCAGAATTTTCACTTGAACCAATTATACCAATTGTTTCCTCCATGAATTAAAGAAAATCTTCAACATGTATTCATTTTTATATCTGTATAAGTCACTATTTTAACTTTTTTTGAAAATTATCTTTTAACAGCTGGTAAATTGGCCAGAGGCATGAATTTTTGATGGAACTTGCCAGATAACTCCGTTTGGAAATGGATCACAGAATCAGCTAGATACAGCTTGTGAAAGTGGCAGAATATACACCACTAGCCTGTTTGGGGCCCCTACACTTCCCACTTGCTTAGGAAGAAAGAGGCTGTGAAAGTGATGGGGAGTTTAATTATAAATGCTGACTCTCAAGTAACAATGGGACACTGGAGAAGAAAGTAGATGGAAGAAAGTCCAGTGGGATCTTGAGATGACAATGCAGACTCCCACAGCTGAACAGCAGGAGTCTGGAGGTTTCCCTAAAGAAGCTATCACAGAGGGAAACAAGCAAAGGGAAAGGACAGAGCCTGTGGAAGACATCATCCGTCAGGAGATGCAAGAACCCTAGACAGAGGAAAAAGTAGGAAGTGTTTAGGAAGAGGCAAGAAGAGATTCATCGTATCAACATTCATGAGTAACAGTCTTTCAGCACCTCCCCTTCCAGAGTGGAGTCTGAGATACTGAAAGCAGGAAACATGCCTGAGGACCACTGATACACATGCTTCAGCAAAACAAAGGAGCACATGCTGAGCCTGAAACAGAAAAATATTTCCACATATGGTAAGAAGTTCAGCACAGACCCGTGTGGAATCTTTTGTCTCTGTAGGGAAGTGTTCTAAGCGCATGGCCCATTCTTATGAGGTGAAGCTTGGGAAAACTGCATGCTCAAGATTGCGTTTTGCAACATTTAGTGCAGAGTTTTCACCCTCGGGGTCATCTGCTGCTGAAATGTCAGCTATCACCTCTCCCTTCCAATTAAGAGGAAAAGTAAAGACAAAGGGCAAACCACCCACTTCCAGCTGAGTCATTCTGTTTAAAGAATGCTTGGGAAGCTCCACTCAACAAGTTTTGCTTAATTCCAGTGACCATGTCTATCTATAAGAAGGGCTGCTACCTAGGATAAGATCTGAGTTCTAAAACTAAAAAGGGAGCCTGGACATTGTTTACATAACATCTGCCCACGTAGTAATTGCTGTCCCTCAGATCCCAGTTCAGACTTTAATTTCTCGAGAAGACATTCTTTCTTTCTTTCTTTAATTTGGCAATGAGGCATATAGGATCTTAGTTCCCCGACCAGCAATGGAATCCATGCCCCCTGCAGTGGAAGCATGGAGTCCTAACCACTGGACCATCAACCAAGTCCCAAAAGACAGTCTTTCTTGATGCCCCTACTTAGATCAGGTTCCCTTGGCCTGTGCTCTTTAACACTGTAGAGAAGATACATTTTTTCCT